AAAGAGACCATGAATAGCATGAGTAGGATTTGGTAGGGAGGTATACACACCACTGCATCGAACTGTCTCATCATCCACGACATGAATGTCAATTGCATTAGTGATGATATTATCACCACGCTGAAGCATAAATATGGCTGGTACGCTGAAATCCAATGTCACCGTGAGAAACATCCAAAAAGAGGATAGCCTACCTGCTAGACCCTCCACTGCGATGTACTGCGCACCGAACTTCCCAGCAAGAGCTGTGACTGCCGATTGATATCCACCAAGGAAGGCCAGGGCAAGGAGGGCCACGGCACGACGGAGCCGACGTTTATGAACCTTATGATGGATTCAATTACATTGAATCCAAACAGGTGGTGGATGCATTACCTGGGAGTGGCTGACAGGAATATGATCATCAATAGCGACATGCGTCTTCATAGACCATTTCGATGCTGTGAAAGCCAACAGATAAAAAGGAAATGTCGCCGCTGAACAGAAGAACACTACTCGAACCGATATGCTCTCGGATTTCAAATCCAGAGGCCCTGAGATCGATCCCGGTACCTTACCAACAAAAGTGATGAACCTTGCACTTGAGAGCAGCCCTGCTATGCTTTGATCAGAACCTTGGTCGTCGGAGGACCCAAAGGCCATAGCTGATACCGCACCCACTACTATCAATATAGAACCGATAGTCTAAGATGGACACAGTAGGACGACGTATAGATGCCACCAAAATACACAATAAGCCTTGTCAAATTTAACGCCTACTGCAGTTCATCGCATAATGACTGTCAGAGCTGATAATAATATTTCCTGAACTGCTCACTGCAAAATCAACGGCAATGAAAGTCCCTGTATGATGATACACTCACGTTATGCGCATTATTACTTGTGCTCTAGATAGACCCTCCCCGAGCATAACACGAGCTACTGCTGCATTGGCTGGCACAGTCAGGCCCGAGGAACATGCTCTAATGGACATCGAGATATAAACCAAAGACCAGAAGTCGAACACTGCTGACAGTATGTAGAATATTACAGCTAACCTGAGGTAAGGTTAATATCAGCCTAAGTGACTGTCAATACTCTAGAGCTATTGACTACCCAACGATTCTCCGTTTATAGACCGGAGGCGGCTCCCATGCATCCATGTCCATCAATATCATCTGTTGTACTCTTGCCTCGATACGTAGTGCATCTAACTTCATCAACGAGTTCGCTATCGCTGTCACCACACACGATGTGAGGCACAGGAAACCTGACAGTGTTCAATGTCGCTGATCCATCCTCAGGATCAAAGGTGGTAGTGAATGTCTCGCAATGGGAATAGGAATGAATATGGACTTGTAGCCGTATAGGGTCGAGGAGTTCGGTAGAGAGAGTACTACATCCAAGTGCCAAATGCTTGACTTCAGGTGTAGATGGTGATGATTTTGGAAATGAGTATCCAAATGCTGCCCAAGCTGCACCAAAAGGGGTGAAGGCTGATGTCGATGCGGCTGCTACTGAGAACCAATCATGCTGTGTGAGGTGCATTGAGCACAATTATTGAAAACCGATGATACCACAACTCTTACACTTCTTGAATAGACTAACCCAACACGAACTAACAATGGAACACTTTGCATAGTATTACATGCTTCTCCATCCATATACTACATAAGCCACTGAACAACATGGCAGCTCGTCATCCTCTATTAGCTGGAAGCCATAGCACACTCATTGGTTACTCACCGTTACTAACCTCATACGAATGGGACTCTCGAGTACCGACCTCCGGTAACCGGTGACATGATGGACCATGAGCCCCTATTACGCTTCTCCCCTTATCACCCCTTCGTCGCAGTAGATCCGGGAGCTCTTAAGGAAGCTGTGAGGGCCTCACTATCCATGCAAGCGGTAGTTGTCCATGATGATGCTCATGTAATTAGTGACCACCGGTCACCGGCTCAGAATGTCTTAGGGGATGGTTGTGTGGGAGGTAAAAGAGGGCGTAACCCAGCAATATATTACTACTCCTGTTATGCCGCCTTCCACTCGCTGGTAAAGCCCAGAGCCGCGAGGTGGGGCTGTAATCGTCTATATCGAGTCGCTAGTAGTCAGAGGCATACACTTCTTACAGATCAGCTTCGAAGTAACAGACATAACAGCAGTATTCCTAACAGTTCACAAGAACATCATCTATGCTGCGAGGAACCTCAACTTCTCTGGTATTGATCATAAGTCCACCTTCTTAATATTAGCGAAGTCAGGAAGATGGCGAGCGAAAATAGTGATGGTAATGTGAATTTAGTGAAGAGGTCTGGATCTACTGCTTGGAGTGGTGACCATTATGATCTTCAAGTTAGCTGCGACTCTCCCGTACACTACTCAGACTTTCCCACCCTTGAGTCGGTAACTCGACTCACCCACCCTTGGCTGCAAACCGGAACATTGAACTACGATGAGTAACCTACAGACCTCAGAAAGTAGCCAAAGTAGTGACGTACAGAGAGAGATCTAACCGAGTAGTTCAATGATACCTGCCCAATCCACCAACCCGGTTAGCTCAGCCAAGGATGGACATCGCCTTGCATAGACTCAACTATCCAATCCTTTTCCACATTCGATATAGCCGGCATGTCCGTCTGGTGCTCTCGTCGTCCGATCACATCTCCGCCCGTCCCTGCGGCTCCCGACGACTTAGCGGTTTCAGCTCCCTGTGATTCCACCACAGTCGCAGAATAGCCCAGACTATCGGCTATGTAGGCCTCCCGGGCGTACCGATTGATACAATCACTGCGCCATCGACCAAACTTCTTCACTTTGTTCCGCTCGATTCCGGCCCTGAGTAGCCACTGGCACCCGCCGGCTCTCATGCTATGTAGAGAGTAACCTATCCATCCTTGTATCCCGGCTTTTGCTAGGTCCTCCTTCAATAGCCTTCGAAACTCCTTCTGAGTCCACCTGCAGCTCTTACTATTTGTACACAGTAGATGGTCTGGTGCGGCCCCTAGTTGATTTCTTGACTGGAGTAGGTATGCCGCGGCACGCACGGGACATATCAACCCAACGTCATCCCCCTCCTGGGTACAGAGAGCACCTAGCTGCCTCTTCTCGCCAGATAACCGCTGGTCTGTCTTCGAGCCTTCGATTATGATAGACACGCTAGTATTCCTTTGTCCGATCGACACATGGCTCACTTTCAGACTCAGGAGCTCGTCTCCTCGCAGAAGAAACCATGACCCCAGGACGTAGCTCGCTGCTCGCTGCTTGGCGAAAAAACCGGAGGCCGATTTGCATAAACTCATCAGCACCCCTAGAGTCAATGGCTCGGCCTGCTTTGGTCCTCCAATATGGCGTTCGCAGGCGGTCTTAATCCTCCGCGCATATGCACGCTGACAACTCGATAGTTTATAACCCAATAACTCGTTGAAGGCGATAGCCGTCGACAAATAGTCAGCCGCCGATCTGTAGTTGGCCTCCCGCAACGCTGCTGTTACTCTTTCCATTTTCTTCTCATCTAGAGGAAACGGCTCAAAGCCCATCTTCCCGCTCATCTCCTCCCACAACTTTAGTCTAGATCGGTATGTGGCCTTAGTACTCTCGGCTAGCATTGCTTTGCGCATAGTAGAAACGGCCCGCTCTAGCTCACTCACGTTAGCCGGCTCCGAAAGGTAATGGGCTCGCTTCCGCGAACCTCGCTTGCGCAGCTGGGATGGAATGAGCATGAGGAGATAGGACAAGCAACCCTACTGAGGGACTAAGACATGAGCCACCGCAGGAATAAACGCCGTAACTGACCTGCTCACGCCCAAACGGCCCCGACAGGCCCACATCAGTGGAGGCGATCCTGCTCGCACTGTGGTCAACGCGCCGTAGCACAGAATGCTACACTAGGCGAAGCCTTGGCAACCCGCCGATCGGCTGTATCACTCAACAGCGTTGACCCATCCGAGGGAGGGCCACCCGCCACTCCCGTTAGGTAACACTCGTTTCACGCAAGGCCACCCGCCTTGAAGGAAAAAGAAAAGGTTATTCACGCTCATCCCGAGCATCCAGTGATGGCTGCTGACTACAACCCGTAGTACACCGCAGCGACTAGACGTCTAACCATCCAACTCCGATGAGACGAACAACCAATAAAGGGGGGCAAAAAAAAAGAATAGAGGACGGCGCAAGGAATGGAGATACGGCGCTCCGTGCAGGTAGACCATCCAATGGATGGCATCCATATGCCCGAAACACGAAACATCGAGCCCCCAGAGAGATCTAACCGAGTAGTTCAATGATACCTGCCTAGGGGCGGCAGTGGGTGGGTTAAAAAAAAGTGGGGATCGTACCCAGAGAACGACTGCATGACACTGTCAGTATCACTGCCCAGTAATCGTAGGGGCTGAATTACCACCAAATTGTCATCTTGGCATCTTGACCTAACTCACACACCGTCGAGTCTCTTGTCACTTGAACTCTTAAGCATGTTCCCATGCTTCTCCATACAAGTGTGTTGTGGTAGTAGTTGTTGTTGTCTTATCGGAATGGCTACCAGCTCCCAGCAGCTTGTATCGGCCAACAGGAAGAAGGACTTTAAGAAGGTGGGCTAGTGATCGGCTGCTGGCTTGGCATTGTTTATATCTATTGCCAGAAAACTGACCCTGGGGAGGCAAAGAAGCGACGGGAGGAGGAGATCAAGGACCAACGGAAGGAGGAGAAGGAAGCGAAGATATCGGCTATACGGCAGAGTGCGGCAGGTAGTAGAAGTCGGTCAACTTGGGTGGGTTGGATGGCTATTGATAGACGCTGATAATGCCCCCTCTGGTAAGAAAGGATTCTTCTCGGATAAGAAGTTCACTGACCTTCAAATCTGTGATCCCCTCAAAGAGGCCCTCACGGCTTGTAGCTTCACTACGATGACGGATATTCAGGCTAAGGCGATTCCTCTTATGCTCAAGGGGAAGGATGTACTAGAAGCGATGGGACGGGTGGAGACGGTTCACGAGCCTCCATTTCACAGGTACTGGGTGCAGCTAAGACCGGATCTGGCAAGACACTGGCCTTCTTGGTACCGGCCTTAGAACTCCTCGTTGCCACCCGTTTTCAACCTAAAAATGGTAAGCAGGCGGTACCCTTGGAGGGTTACTCGTGGTGCTGGGATGCAGGTACTGGCGTTATGATCATCTCACCCACTCGTGAGCTGGCCATGCAAATCTTTGACGTTTGCAAGAGGGTAGTAAATACTCCCCAGCGTGACCACCTAGAAGCTATGCTTCAGCTCGTTGACTCAACCAAGCTGTCTCAAACTTACGGTATCGTTATGGGAGGGGTGAATAGGAAGAATGAAGCGGATAAGCTATCAAGAGGAATCAATATTCTTGGTAAGGCAACTGACCCGTGGCCTCAGCGGGTGGACTCTCCTCTAGTTGCCACGCCGGGCCGACTACTGGATCATCTCCAGAATACCAGGGGGTTCGTCTATGCTAATCTCATGAGCTTGGTTATTGATGAGGCCGATCGGATACTTCAAATTGGTAGTGTTGGGGGGATCTTGGCTCGTGTTTCATTGGAAGTGTTGTAGGTTTTGAGGAGGATATGAACCAAATATTGAAGATACTCCCTAAAAAGCGACAGACTTCTCTGTTTTCGGCGACTCAAACGCAGAAGGTAGGTTGTCCGCTGACCTCTTCTGGCATCGATGAGTTGCTTCAGGTCAATGATCTGGCCCGGTTGTCCCTGAAAAAGCCCATATTCGTGCAGAGCAAGGGAGCTGATGATGTAGTGGAAGGAGCACTGCTGGTGGGGTGGACATGTTGTGACAGGATGCGGCTATTTCGACAGCCTCTGGGTTGGTCCAGGGATATGTTGTGGTTGGTGGGGACGATCGTCTGCGACTTCTCTTCACATTCCTAAAGAAGAACCAAAAAAAGAAGGTTACAAAATCGTTGTTTGAATTACGTTCTACATGCCCATCAGGTTATGGTTTTCTTCTCCTCGTGCAATTCGGTGAAGTTCCATGACGAGCTCCTCAACTACATCGACATACCTGTTATATCCATCCACGGTCAGAAGAAGCAGTCGGCTCGCATGACCAACTTCTATCGATTCTGCCAAATGGAGTCGGGTATACTACTGTGTAGGTGGTGGCTGGGGACGACTATCGACTGTGATTTGACCGTGGAGTGGTATGGATACGTGTAGGTACGGATGTAGCTGCAAGAGGTTTGGATATTCCTAAAGTTGATTGGATTGTTCAGTACGATCCTCCAGATGATCCGAAAGTACTCGACTCACTTGACGTAGATGGATATATCTACCTCTCAGGAATACATTCATCGTGTTGGGCGTACTGCTCGTGGCGCCGAGGGTACTGGTAAGGCCCTCCTCTTCCTCATGCCAGAGGAGCTAGGTTTCCTGAGGTAGGCAGGGAGCTGAATAGAGGTATCGCAACTGTGGGCTAGGTACCTTCGTAAATCGGGCGTGACGACCCTCAACGAGTACGTGTTCCCACCAGCTAAAGTGGCTAATATACAGCATCAGTTGGAGAAGCTAGTCGAGTCGAATTATCACCTTCATCGGGCTAGTCGGGATGCTTATCGATCGTATCTGCACGCTTATGCTGCCCATGCCTCTAAGGATTGCTTTGATGTCCACTCACTGGACCTGCAGAAGCTAGCCAAGTGCTTTGGATTTGCAGTGCCACCGAAGGTTGATCTCAATTTGAAGGATACGAAGAAGAGCGACAGGCAAGTTGGGATGAGGGATATCCACGTGGAGTATGCTGCGTTTTCAGGGGCGGGCGGAAAATGGTAAAGTCAGGAAGGTTCAATAAGGGTCAGGGTGACTTTAGCGCTAGCAACCCTTATGGGAAGAAGACCAATGGAGACAAACGTCAGTTCAGCATGTAGAAGGGGGATAGTAGAGCACTGATGAGGATACCAGAGTTAGTACCGTTCCTTCAACAACTCTCAACGTCAATACCATCTGTTAATAGTACGGTTAGTATCGGCTTGCTGGAGGACATTCTCCTCTCGACCATTCTATACCACACTGTTTCCACATTACTGGAAGATCGCCTTCTTGTTGGGGAGGGATATGTGGCAAGATCATGATGAATAGAGAGCCTGACGATAGCTGCCTCGAGCAGTTGTATGCATGCTGACCTATAAATAACTACACTTGACCTGAGTCTTGACATTATGGGCTTCTTGAGTGTTGTCATCTTGCAGTGTTTTTGAGTCCAACATGACTTCTACATGTCTGGATTCGTTATCCGTAGGGTGAGGTATGGTCAAGGAAGCAGAAGTAGACAGTTGAATGGCTTGGGAAGTGAACTGATATTATTGTTGATATTAATCACGTCTTCAGCTCAATTTCGATGATGTTAACTGTGGGGTTGTTTTGGTTCCCAGCGTGCCATGAAGGAAGCAAGGAGGGGACTGTTTAGTACGTCGATAGTGAAGAGCGCTATCGCTGAGAATGTCTGAGATCCTCACCAAATTTGGCAGATAACGCGGTGGAGAGTTGAAGTGGAGTTACAACCTGCATAGTGACAAGTCATTGTCAACGGGCTTCTTGTAACGAGACCTCGTATGGACTCGTTTCTCTCTCTTATGGGTTTGTGAGTTGCTAGTAGTACAATGCATTGGTCCCGGGCGTGGCATACAGCATGGTGTACAGGACGTGTTGTTTGCTTGTATTGAGCAATGCCAGGGGCTAGTGAAGAGACTACTTTAAAGGAGCTCGTTGAGGGTCATCCCGATTTGGCTTTCAATGAAGAGAACACGAAGGTCAAATGCATCTCTACAGGTAGTTGGGCTAAAGCTGTGGGGTATTGGGAGTCCTATAGTACTGAAGTTGAATCATGGTAGGTCATGAGATGCCTTTAACGTACCAGGTAGTTCACGAGTATATTAACAGACCTAAGTACTTGAAGGCTAGGGAGTTGGTGGAGGAAGGGATCAGTGTCGATGATGAGGTACTTGTGTGATGTCTGCATACTGTTACTGGTGGTAGCTCATCTCGTTAGATGGAGGAGTATAAGGATTACCTCATCCAGCATGACCGGTTCCCTCATTGCTACTTCTGTGTCGTTACACATAAGAAGGTGAATAAGGATCCTGCCTCAGTTCACAAGTAGGGAACATCAACCCTTCAAGGGTCCACATCATTATAGTGGCAAATAAGCGGGCTCTATGTTAGGCACTTGTCGGGGAAGAAATTCCAGTATAAGCTTAAGGCATACAAAGAGAGACAGCAAGCGAGAGAGGGTGTTGAAGCCAAGTCGAAGCAGGCGAAAGGGAAGGAGGATATTGCTGAGGGGGATGAGGAGGACCTCTCTATGGAGGAGATGGATGCTATGTTTGGTGAGGGAAGTGATGATGAGGAAGCGGTCGAAGAGGAGGAGGAAGGTGTAGTGGTGGATGATGATGAGGAGGAGGAAGAGGAAGAGGACGAGGAAGGTGAGACACTGATCCGTCGATGGTCTGTGGAGCGCATTTTGTGATGTTCACAAGCCTGAGGGTTCTCGATTCGGATTGTTCCTTAGGTGTTGTCGTGGACGATGAGGGAGAGAATGATGATGATGATGATGATGATGATGATGTTGAAGAAAATGACGATGAGGAAGAAGTGGAGGAGGTTGATGCTGATGAGGTTTCTGATGAGGAGGATGAAGATGCTGTGGAGTCTTATGGGAAGGGGAAGGGAAAAGGGAAGGGAAAAGGGAAGGGAAAAGGAAAGGGGAAGGGGAAAGGAAAGGGGAAGGGCTTTGGGAAGGGGAAGGGCCTTGGCTCTGACGAAGACGAAGGTGGGCGAGGAAAAGGGAAGGGGAAAGGGAAGGGAAAAGGGAAGGGGAAAGGGAAGGGGAAAGGCTTCGTAGAGGATAGTATCGACATCACCGACAGTGCTGAGCAAGGGAAGGGGAAGGGGAAGGGAGGTAAAGGCTTTGGATCCCATGGGAAGCGCAAGGGGAAGGGAAAGGGCAAGAGGTTCAGTGAATCAGAGGGAGGGAAAGGGAAGGGAGGTAAAGGCTTTGGCGGTCACGGTAAAGGAAAGGGGAAAGGGAAGGGCTTTAGCGAATCTGAAGGAGGGAAGGGTAAGGGAGGAAAGGGAGGCTTCGGTGGCCATGGTAAAGGAAAGGGGAAGGGCAAGGGTAAAGGCAAGGGTAAAGGATTCAAGCGGTCTGCTGAGAATGAGGGATTTGGCAGTTATGGAAAGAGAGCAAGATTCGAGTGATAGCCGCTACTACCCCCAGTACTCTGATACCAACGTTAATATGGTTCCTACGTTACAGTAGATCTAGGAGTGTTTGGTTACTGGGTCAATGTGTGGAGGGAGGAGGATAGTCATAAGGTAGAGAAGTCTCTCGTTGTTCGTAGGTTTTACGGTATGGATCTTACTTGCCCTAATTGTTATGTATTCATATGTCGGCAGAGAGATGGTGCTGTGATCATGCTGGAAGGGGAAAAGCAGGCTGGGGAGTTCGGCATGGATGTTGGTGCTCGAGTCAAGGAGACCGAGAAAGGTACGTAGGGTATCGCTTCATATGGATGCCTGTGTATCCCCTAGAACCCTGTAGTTTATCAGTGAGATTATTATCATCGCTAGTGGAGGGACCTTACTCCTCAGCTTGAGCGTTTTTCAATCTTACCGAGTCTTTCGATGCCCAATATTCTGTGCCACATTCCTGTTGAAGTCATTCCGGTCTGAACCAGAATTTCAAACCCCGGCATTTCATGGGCTATGCTGTGGAGTGTATAGGGTTGGGGCGTAGGTACCTATTATGATGCGGCTAGGCTCACGATAACGACCCATCGCATTTATTGGCGACATGCTGGGCAATACAAATGTAAGTCTGTAGAAGTGCCAGAGTGTCTGCTGTTGTTGCAGCCCACACCTCGTGGTGGAGGGTTCTGTGCGCTTAGGTATTCGGCTTGACCAGGTAGACACGATAAAGATTAAAGGAGGGTATTTTCGAGATGCGAAACTGTGAGGCTGCGGAATTGAAGGCGGTGTTCGAACTAGCTTTAAGCAGTTACCTTACGTTTTGGGGTCATCCCGGAGATGGTTTAAGTATCAGAGGGACATGTTCTGCTGATGCTGAGCGATTAGAAGCCATGGTCAGTCGGCTGGTGAGCAACGGGGAATAAACGCTCGATTTCAACGAGGGTTGAGCTATACTACTTCCGGTTGGCTGTTAACCAATGTATATCCAATGTTATCTCTCAGGTCACTACCCAAAGCTGGAGCGCTTCGCCATCGTATGAGCCTGTCGGTGGGCAGATTGGGGGTATTGGGCGTCTACTGCAGCGGAGAGAGAAACAAATAGAGGAAGACAATAGGAGTGTGAATGAAGGTAACACTTGTTATCTCCCCGCTTACTCTTCGTTCGCTTGAAAACATGGAGATTTCCACGACTGTGCGCCACTGTGGCATAGCAATCCTCTCTTAGGTCTCGCTGATCTTCGGTCGTTGCAAGCAAGCGCTTCTGATCTCGTTCAACTGGCCAGGCGACTTCAACGAGATGAGAAAGATGACTCAACTCAGGTGAGTTGATTCGGTATAGTTGAGCTCTCAATGGAACGTTGAATAAGACTTGACTAGATTTTTACCCTCTGTATAGGTCCGATCTCTTCTTGAGGAATACGGTCTAGTAAGTGATGATGATGATGGTACGCTGGCCGCTCCGGCAGCGACTTATCAGCAAGTTATCCAGCTCTGTTGCACAGCGCTGAGCAATGCGAGCAAGTCCTGTGGAATTATGCTCCTTCAGGATGTGTAAGCTCGGCCTGCGAGGAATGGCATGGGAGTCTATGGTGTGTAGGTACTGCCTAGTCAACAGAGCCTTGGGCTTCGATCTTATCTCTCCTCGGACTCTTCTTGAGTGTCTGAAGACTGAGGCAGGTCGAGCTGATCGGAGGCTAACTATACGGCGGTTTCGAGATGGAGCTTTCCTCGCAGTGAGTCGAAGATCGTTACGACCGTAGGTTGTGGAGGCCGAGGCTTCCTTCCTCAGGTGGCTTTGCCGAACTTCTCGACGGAGGAAGCATGTAGACGCTTGAGAGATGAAGTACTGCCGACTTGGCGCGACAGCGTTGGGTCGTTGGAATTAGCAGATGCTTGGAAAAGTAAGACTTTTGATGGTTTCGGGAGTTCTGGGGTTGAGACGAGTATCTTCGCATTCTCAGTATCCCCATCGCTTGCGACTATATTGCTCACGGAAGCCACCAATCTCGGTGTAGTGGCCGCAGATGTCTCTATTGAGGGCGACCGTTGGCAGCGGAATATGTTCACGGAGTACCATGAACATTGACACATCTTCACACAGTAGTTGCCTTTTTCTCAGTCTAGTGCTCACCTCTATACATTATGTCTTTACGCGTTATAGAGTATCGTGTTGTCACAGAGTGCGGCCAAGTCGATATGGACTAGGAAGTGTTGGCCTGCGTCATTGAGGTGTTCACATTACAGGGGCGGCTATGCCACATAAAGGCAGCGATACTATACAGGGGCGGCTATGCCACATAGAGGCAGCTATACTATAGAGGGGCGGCTATGCCACATAAAGGCAGCGATACTATACAGAGGCGGCTATGCCACATAGAGGCAGCGATACTATACAGGGGCGGCTATGCCACATAGAGGCAGCGATACTATACAGGGGCGGCTATGCCACATAAAGGCAGCGATACTATACAGGGGCGGCTATGCCACATAGAGGCAGCGATACTATACAGGGGCGGCTATGCCACATAGAGGCAGCTATACTATAGAGGGGCGGCTATGCCACATAGAAGCAGCTATACTATAGAGGGGCGGCTATGCCACATAGAGGCAGCGATACTACACAGGGGCGGCTATGCCACATAGAGGCAGCTATACTATAGAGGGGCGGCTATGCCACATAGAGGCAGCTATACTATAGAGGGGCGGCTATGCCACATAGAAGCAGCTATACTATAGAGGGGCGGCTATGCCACATAGAGGCAGCGATACTACACAGGGGCGGCTATGCCACATAGAGGCAGCTATACTATAGAGGGGCGGCTATGCCACATAGAGGCAGCTATACTATAGAGGGGCGGCTATGCCACATAGAGGCAGCTATACTATAGAGGGGCGGCTATGCCACATAGAGGCAGCTATACTATAGAGGGGCGGCTAAGCCACATAGAGGCAGCTATACTATAGAGGGGCGGCTATGCCACATAGAGGCAGCTATACTATACAGGGGCGGCTATGCCACATAGAGGCAGCTATACTATAGAGGGGCGGCTATGCCACATAGAGGCAGCTATACTATAGAGGGGCGGCTATGCCACATAGAGGCAGCTATACTATACAGGGGCGGCTATGCCACATAGAGACAGCTATACTATAGAGGGGAGGCTATGCCCGGCCAGGGCCGCTATGCCAGGTAAAGGCCGCTATCCCTTGTAGGAGCCGGTATGCCCCCCTCCAGGCTACATACCGCCATCTCACTCCATCGCTTATTGGAGGTGATACCGACGGAGGATTACCGTACCTTGGCACGTCCCTTAGTAAGCTGCTACAGCCTCCTCGCAAGGAGAGCATAACATACCTCCAGGGCCTATCTCACAACTTCATCAATCATCGTGTAAAGGTGGGATTCGTGAGCCTTGAGAATCGCTGGCCGCGTCGATGCGAAGCAGTTGTTCACTCTAGACTGGCACATGCGGATCAGACGACTCTGTCAAGCTCGATCAAGTTGTGTCTTTGGTAGTCGCAGGTATGTGCCACCATTTTTGCGGAGTGTGGAAGAGTGCGATTGGTTTGGCAGCAAGCATCCATGAGTGTGGATATGCTTGATGTCCATGGGTAGTCTATTTTCGAGTCAGGTGAGGATGAATTCTTGAAGACTTACGACAAGGCCTGACAGTCAACAGTAGCTCATTCGAACGCGGTCTAGAATTGTTGCACCTACTGGCTCGCAGGTACATACCAAATTCAATGAGGTGTTCACCGTACGGCTTACAAACATAAACGACCAGGATTCTATTGCCGCCGGGAATGGTTAATTCACTCTGCCATGAGTATGTCTTACGGTAAGACTCTTACCTATCTCTGATATAATCCTAGGCCTAGTGATCAGCGCAGGACAGGCCCTCCAGGATTCCAACTGTTGGTTAGCAACTATCAACGCAACTTTTCGTAGGTTTTTTTGATTCACTGAACTCACGAGGGTCATGCTAACAACTGCTCAATCACTGTGACCATGTCTTCTGCGACGATGGTTTCAAAAGTGAAGGCTTCGTACAACAGTAGATTTTTATGCGACCACAACAGTGGTCATTTTATAAGACTTTATAAGCACGCCCAGAATAAAAATGATGATGATGGCGATCGGCCATCTATGAACTTTCCACACCATGGTCAGGCTTAACCACTCCACATCCATGCTTGTTACAGTGGGTCCTCTTAGCCAATTCACATTTCCACAACTTGGACATATCCAACTGCCTGGTGGATCCGCTCTTAGAGGCGGTCTACTGGGAGGAGGAGGAGGAGGGGGGACATCAGGAGCAATCATGCTCCGCACCAGATGGGATACTTCTTCATGATACACGTTTCTGCCAGGGGCTCCGTATCCACGACCATGAGAAAGACTCCCATGCGAGTCGCCACGTATGGTGTCTGCAGCTGGAGTCGCGACTCCACTAGCCACAGTGGATCCTGGTAGAGGGGAGTCTGATGGCACATTGACAGTGGGGGTAGAACCACTGGAGGTCGAATTCATCTTGATCATATCAGCAACGAAACCACGCTTCTCAAGTTCAGCTTTATATTTTCTTGTATATTCAATGTCGGACGCTTCTCTTCCTTTCTGACAGGTACGACCGTTGCAAATTGTTCTGGCCGGCCAGTTGACATTGTTGCACTTGACACATATCCACGACCCGAAAGGGGCCGATAGGAGCTCTTGAATGAAGGTGTTTTTCTTGTCAGCAGTGGTGGGCAGAGTACCAGTACGATGGGCTTCCAGTAGGATTTCCTCGTCCCTTGTGGTCTTACGCTCTGCCAGGCAATTATCGCACTCACGTGCCAAGGGCTTCACAGAGCGAACACCTGAAGGAAAGCATTCTGTGATGTAAACATAACCTGTATTCTCACCGCAAGCATGACAATTCCAGTTCTCTAGAGGCTTGGGAGCATTGCATTTCCTCATATTGCAGAATAGCTTGTGGGAGTAGTTGATATTGCCGCAACGAACACATTTCCAGCCGCCGTTCTCGAGGGACGGTAGAGGACGAGCTGCCGGTCCAGTAGGTGCGTTCGGAGGTGGTGGACCCGGTGGTGGGGGAGGAGGGGGAGGGAGCTGAAAGAACAACAGTGGTCACTAGACGCATATACAGGCCCTCGATATCCCGTAGTGGGCTTGACCGTTGCGACCAACGACCCCACGAATAAGGCTATGGCCTCGTAAAGGGCCTTGGAGTACTTACTGGAGATTTCTTAGAGTACGACAGTATAGCTGGATCTGTGATAGTCATGTTGATGATCGCTTTGTACAATGGATGTACCAACGACAGGAACTTGTCGGTTGAGACTAGTGGAGCAAATGTGCCGCGCAAAATAATCGATCATTTCCAAGGAATTTCAAGATTTGCAAGTTCTCAAGATTTTGAGTCTGCGTACGCCCAAGATTTCGAGCCCTGATTGCGTTAAACCATTGATCTCGGATATCGAAGATCGATACCTGCTAGGCGGAAGATTCATAAGAGAGAATGCTGCGGTGGTAGACGAAGGCAGGACGAGACCGTACAGAGGCGAAAGACGGCCGAGAAATAGAAGCACTCGGCCCATAGGCGTAGGATGGACATGGACTGGTAGTAGTAGGAGGGACTAGTGTGAGGGTCGTGGTAGTAGTAGTAGTTGTGGTGTTAGCCGTATCTCGGTCGGCGGGTACATCTAACCTTGCTGCGCCACAAGAGGCAATAGTCGTGCTACTCATCCTGATACGCAGTACAAGGCAACAAAGTACGCTAAAAGACTTCTCTCTATTGAAGAGAACTCTCTATTTATCGCGCTATTGGGTTCTCCTTGGGCCTGTGGGCAAACTGAACGGGCCTTGGGCAACATAGCTGGGGCTTTCACCAGATTGTTAGACATGGGAGTAGCCTATCAAGGCCGACGTTGTTCTTGACTTGAGTCCCTCTTTCGTAACGGCATTTGGTCTCTATCCAATTTATGACGAGAAAAGCCTCGTGAGATACCCCTATGTAGCAACGACATCTTGTTGGGCATTGTTATTTCCCTCGTTGTTTCGCTTCTCAATCTGTTTACTGCCACTGAACTGCATGTTGGGTTTACCCTGTTTCAATTAACACCAGCGTGGCGGTGGGAAGACATCGTCATTGCAAGTGTATTTCTGGCTGATGCGGCAACAGTCATTAGATAAGGACAAGGCAGATGCCCCGGCCCAGAAGCCCCCTCATCGGTCGAACCAAGATATGTCAAATTCATCATCATCATTTTCAAGAGGCCCTTTGTTGAGCGCTGCCAGGAGTGGCAAGACAGACGTAGACACATGGACTTGCTTTTCCGACCAAGTGCTCCGTCATTATTAGGTTGTGCGACTACTACTCCAAGCTGTCGAGAAAAGTTCATCTGATGTGGAATCTTCTCAAGCGAACCCGTTCCTTCTAGCACCTGCTCGTTACAATGATAATGACCTGGGTGTTGCCCTCTGTGAGGCTGCTAGGTGGGTAGTGGCCAGTGTTGGAATATGGTTTGGTCGGCCCCAAAACTCGTACGGGAATTAGTATAGCACTGTACAAGAGTGAACGAGGTATTCCCTCATTGTCATCAATACGCGTTATCGATCGTCTTTGCATATTTCTCCCTATCGGGTTATCTGATGCAGGAATGGTCATTCTGGTGTGGTCAAGGCTATCATAGAGAAGTGTCCCTCAGCAGTGAAGTACTCAGATCCTACTACTGGCTATAACGCTCTCCATTATGCCGTAAGTGGTGGCACCACGAGGGAAGAGGCCTATTGAGGGTCCATATAGGTGATGACGCCAGAGAATGGCAAAGTAGCAGCGACTATAGTGAGGATGCTCCTGAGTGGGAAATGTCAACTGCGGAATAGTGTAGAGTAGGAGGAGCCTATGGGAAGTGTCAGAATCGTATCAGGTATTGCATGTGTGCAACAATATGTATGCATTGTCCTTGATATTGGATTACCCTGGTAAGTGGTGACACGTTTCTCTCGGCATCATGTGCCTTAGGTGTTGACTTAGAAGGGCTTAACCGCCATAGAGTGACCCCATTAGCAGCTCAAGTGAGGGCAGACCATGTCGACATGGTTGAGGAGCTCATCCGGGCTGGCGCCAAAGTGTACGCTCTACTACGCGCCTGTTGAACACGTCACGTGTCGCCGCCGCTTCTCAGGCCCAGCTCTCTCCTATTCTCGGCTAAGTCGGCCGATACCGCCCGGGCCCTCCTGCACGCCGGAGCTGATCCCAACGTCCAAGATGCATTCGGGTAGTCCTCCTCTTACCGTAGACCTCCACTCAGTAGTAGAGTGGTAGGTACACGCCACCAGGAAGACGCGGATAACCCAGATGCTCCGCAGTACGACATCAAGGTCGTTATCTACGCCGACGACCTGTGCGTCGGAGTCAAGAGCGACAGCATCGATGGACTGGTGTACGGCATTACGAGGGCAAGGCAGGCTGCGAAGGCATGGTCAGAAAGGGAAGGCTTCAGCCTGGCGGAGGCCAAGGAAGAGCTCTGGGTGGGCGGAGGGGACCTCACGAGATCCCTTATCGGCGACCGATTGCCTGAACTGCGAGGAAAGATGAAGGAGGAGGTTAAATGGCTAGGACTGACCATGAAGAGCTCGCCGAAAGGGGGAATCTGCTTCAGGAGGCAGGCCGAAAGGTCACTGGAAGAAGCTGGTAAGGCGCTGAAGAGGTATACGCCGCTCTGTCGACGGCAGTTTGGCTTATCCGAGGCAGTGCTGGAGGGACTGTGGCATAGGGTGATTATCCCGAAAGCCTGCTATGGGGCTGAACTATGGGGGCATCAGGCACGGTACGCCTGGTTTGCGAAGAAGGCCGAAAGCCTCAGACATGCAGCGGGCAGACTGATGTGGCGGGCACTCGGTTCAACGCCAGGAATACTGATGGCACGGGTGATGGAGTGGAAGAGGATGGATCATGCGGTGGTCGAGAGATTCGCAAAGGCAACTCTGTACAAAACGGGGTGGCGACTGGAGGACAAGGATGCCAAATGGCTCTCACAGTACGCGGGGGACGTGCTCAGGAATCGGCAGCCGGACAGGGAACAGGTGGCACCAGAGGGCAGGGTTATTGAGATAGATGGAGGAGGGAGCCCGACGCCAGAGGAGGGGTGTGTACAGTACTATACGGACGGGAGCCGCAAGGAGTGCACCAAGGGACGGCCGAGGGGCGGACGGATTGCGACATGCGCCCGTGTAGGGTGCGGGGTGGCAGAGATCGGCCCGCAAGGAGAGTTGGTATGGACAGGTTCTCATCGACTGCCGGACTGGTGTACCGTGTATCAAAGCGAGTCGAAGGGGATTGAAAGAGCCTGCATCAGGGCTGAGACAATGCTGCCAAAGGTGAGGGAAGGAAAGATAAGGAAGATGGATATTTGTGTGGACAACATATCGGCCCTACGAGCAGCGGGCGGGCACACACAGCTGTTGGGGAGGACAGCGGCCAGCGCGCGAGCGGCGGTCATCCGGTTGTCGGAGAAACTTGAGGAGGCTGGTGGGGAGCTCAGACTCAAGTGGGTCAAGTCCCACGTTGGGCATCGACATAATGCCGTTGCCGACCTGCTGGCAGCAGACGGAGCGTACAGAGGAAACCTGCTGACAGCACCGGTCCCGTGGGTGCACACTAGGGAGCTGATACAGAGGAAGTACGCGTCGAGAGGAGACAGGGACTGGGCAAGGAAGAGTAGTGATCTGAGGGCTAGCTGGGCGGGCGTCAACCTCGGACCGAGGCAGCGGAGGGTGATTAAGGCAGCGCACCTATCGCCGGTCGACAGGCGGAGACTCATGGAGGTTATCAGTGGCCACTCTGTCACCAGAAGACACTGGTGCAAGATAGATCGGAACTTGGGTCCTGAGTGCCGTTTCTGTGGGGCGGAGATGGAGGATGAGAGGCACATCATCTTCGAGTGCAGGCGCTTCGCGTTGGAGAGGATCAGGCTGAAGCGCAGGCTAGGCTGGAGAAGCTTGCCATATCACATAGGGAACTTCCTATCTTCACCCTCGAGGCTGCGGGTGCTGATGGGATTCTTGAGGAGGGTCTGGCCGGCCTTGGAGGGGCGAGATGTGGCCGCAACTCCAGCGGCAGCCACAGGAGACTCCGTGCATTGATGTAAAAAAAAAAAAAAAAAAAAAAGAAAAAAAAAAAAAAAAAAAGAAAAAAAAAAAAAAAAAAAGAGAAAAAAAAAAAAAAAAAAAAGAAAAAAAAAAAAAATGTATAATTTCGTATTATTTGCCTCTACTATTCTTCTATTTCTTGTACCGTTTTATTTTCCCTCTACACCTAATTAATTACCATTGGCAGAGCCTCAGCCGGAAGGGGTTCACCACGGGGACGAACTATCTACAGGCCCCGCAGCCTGTGTGCCGCCAAGGCCGTATACTGCGCTCAGCGCGGTCGGCAAAAGGGCACCCAACAACAACAACAACAACACGCCACTACACCTGGCAGTCGAGGAGGAACTCCGTTCGGTAGCTAGAGTGCTCCTCGAATATAAGGCAGACCCGCATAAGAAGGCTTATGATGGGATCACTCCCCTGGCTATGGGCTCTTCAACGTGAGCTCAGTAGTCCTAACTGTTGTTGTCATCCATAGGCTATCCATAGGCGATCAGTGAGGGCTGCATCACGCACCTCCTTTTCTGTACCCTCAAGAGACGAGACACAGACCGGCACGTTGTCTGCTAGCAGTCCCTCACCAGTGCGAGAGTCAGAAATTGAAAGAGACCCAATAGGAGCAGGAGGCTCATCATCATCATCATCATCATCATCATCATCATCGTCGTCGACTAGCAAGGCACCTCCTCAAGCCAGTGTTAGCAAGGAGCTCACCGGACCTACACAGCAACATCAGCAGCTCCCCACTCTGGGTACGTGATCACCGTGCTAGTCCCCACTGGATGCCCTCCTTAGGAGAGTCTAGGACGTTTCACGACATCGTCTCCAGATTGGACCAACTCGACGATGCATTACTATCGTATAACGCTGAAGTGGAGGGTGAGTTAATATTGTGGTGTACTTGACGAAGTATTGCCTCAATCAGAGATTCCCACTAGTTCAACCGAGTGGCATGGTTTTGAAGAGCGGATGGAGTACTTGATAGGGAAGGTGCGTCGATTGAAAAGGCAAGCTATTGAGGCAGAGGCGGAGGTTCGCAGACGGCAGAGGGAGCAACGCGCCGCTGATGGAAAGAGTACGAATGCTATAGGGCGACGTTAGCACGTTGGCATTGATGAGATTTCGGGTCTGCCGATTCTAAGATCGTGGTCAGAACCTGGCCGTCGTATTTGGCGCTCGGAGCTCATTCGTCGTACTCACTGAGAATTTTATATTTCAAGGATTGAGAGTTGCTTGACGACGTTGAGTCCTGTACAGCTGTATAGTCCTCTGAATGCTATAAATGGGCTGGGAGTGGTGGAATGATGCCCTGCTTCGACTATGGCATGTTGGCAGCTCAAGACTATTTCTCAGACCCCGACTCCTCTAAAAGCCTCGCTGATGACTCCCTCTGTGTAGTGTGCCAATCAGAGCTCCGTGAGTGATTGGTTATGGCTTCTCTTTGAGCCAGCTCGCTTTCATAGGTACTGTTGTGCTCATGCCCTGCCGGCATATGTGCGTGTGTACTCGCTGCAGTGATCGGCTCGGTTCGGAGTGCCCGCTCTGCCGAGATCATATCAAGGAACGCCTTAAAGTCTTCACCTGACATTCAACTTTTTCCTCATTGTTACAGTAGTCGTGTTGGGATGCTCGGCGGTCACAATGGAAGTCGCCTTCTTTTATTCTAATGTCGGCCAGCCAGAGATCATCCCTCCCGCAGAAACTCGCCCTGTTGGATTCCCGACTAAGGGACTTCGATACTGGCGATGGTGGTATCCGCTCGGTTGTGTGGGGATACCTCTCCAGAGCCCACTTTGATAGCGTGAAGGTTCTCGACCATAATGAGGGTCATCTTAATCACCGCAACAGCATCGCCAACAGCCAACAATTTCAATTCGTTCTTAAAAAGATGAAGGAGGACCGTCCCCTGGTGAGACGTAGAGCCTCCTTACCATGGCACCGAGCTATGGTCAATGAAGTTGAGAATACACATCAAGTGTATGTTGTTAGCACTCTGGTACACTTTGAATCGGAGGCTCTTCTCATGGGCACGGTTACGGGCGAGCTCTTTTGCGCGCCACCTCCGCCTACGCCGACTTGGCCGAGCAATCGAGCTACGGGCAATGTCGAACGGACTCCAATACTCCTTGCTCGCGGGTTGGGTTGCTGTGATGAACTGTATGATGTCTCTAATGATGGTACTATCCGTGCCTTTAGTCGAGCTAGGGGGTGGTGTCGTGACTTGCTGCCAGTGCAATGAAGAGATATGAGTAGAAGTAGTATTATCATTGTTATTAGATTTTTTGACGTATATACTGCTCAAACTGGGGTAGGATTATGATCTGTATATATCAGAGTTTAGGACTGCTTCAGTAGCATCACCAGACTCGACTGTTTCCCTGTCAACATACCGTCTTGAGAGCTAGTGGGGGAGGGATCCACTCGGTGCAGGCTATTCATTTGATTCCGTTCAAGCTGGCATCCGTCCGTTCATCTCTGCCATTGAGGTTGGGAGCATTGAAATCTAGGCTCCACATCAACTGCCTCACCGGGGACGCGAGCGTTGAGCTCGAGGTTTGGGCCTTTCTAGCAACCACTCGGGTCGACTCGATCACCCAAGTCCAGAATCAGGGGTTGTCCGATGAGTTTGGCATTATTAGCGTTATCGCTAGCCCTGTTTGGAAGTTCATGGTCAGTGTGATGAGAGAGCCTCATGGGCATTTGTGTCGTGAAGGTCTCCATCCGATGCATCGCTCGATGGTCCGACGACTAGAGAAAGAACGCGGTGTACTGGTGGTCAGTGCGGTGCTACATTCCGCGTCTGACAGTCTATTCATGGGAACACTCAATGGTGAACTCTACTGTGTGCCCAATAGGGGCGCCCAGAAGGGACCAATACGCATTGCTCGGGGACTGGGCTGCTGCGATGGCTTGTGGGAGCTCTCGGGTCGGGGTGTCATTCGGGTATTCTCCAGTACTCAAGGAAGATTCTGTGATCTTCAGCCGATCGAGGCGTAAAAGTACTCATCGCGGCAACTAAACGCTGTCTCCGACTCAGCCCCCATACCGCCCGATTATCATGCCCGTGTTTGTCCCATGCAGAGTAACTGAGTTAAGTTACACGGTGACAGGAATGCTTCTTCGGAGGTCATCGTTCATTTAGCGTAGTAGTTATAAGGTTCTGGTCAACCCTCAACCTTCTCTCTTTTTTCCGATCTACAATTGCCTGGTGCGATGGAAATTAGATGCTCTTGATAATTCCCATCCGGGCTTCATATAAAGCTAGTTAGGTTTCTTTGAGGGAGTGTTGTGTTGGCGAGTAGAAGATGGGAGTATTTGACAACATGACACAGCATTACTGTGACAGCAATTGTGATATGCGAAATACGGAGCGGGACTGACGATGGAATTTCACCGCTAATACAGTCCGGTCCAATAGAGTTGTACAGAGCTGATCTAACTCATTCAAGAGATGAACATAGGGAGGGTACCGAGCTCATTAGATTAGCAATATGTAGGGCATTCGAATCATTTGGAAGACCATTAGTCATAAAACCGACCGGGTTGGAAAGAGATACCTTTCGAGGTATCGCGGGATAACTTTCGAAGTGTATACGGCAGGGAAAGTTCTGTTTCCTCGATAAGCTGCTTCACGAAGTTCTAAAGCTCTGAAAATTTCTGATATAATGAGTTCAGTACCTTCCCTATATTCATATTTCAAACGATTTAGATCGGTTCTGGACAACTCATTTCGACCGGACTGTATTGTCTTACACTCGTATAACACGAATCAGAGTTTCGCAGGACGATCCGATATCACGTTGAGGGAGCCTTGAACTGGTCCTTGATCACATATGCATCGAGGAAACTGTCTGTATGCAGGGTCTGGAAGGGTGCTCGCCTTATATCAACGAAAAGTCAGACTCGTTAACAAATACTGGATCTTCAGGTGTACTGGAGACCGGTGATACTCTCTCGCGGATATTCTATCTTGATCCGGCGATGTTAGTTAGCTACGAGTTCTGCTAGTAATTAACTCCCGTTATCACTCCAATTCAAGGCACATATCACTCGTGTAGAGATTGACAAGTAGAATGTGACGAAGCCGGTCGAGTAGATCGTACCAAGACTTGGTAATCCGAGACGAATAAATTGCCTAATCCAATCGGAAGCTGTACCATACTCTCCATTGGAGAGTCTCCAATATGAAGCACTGTCGTATGCTCTACACAATGGAGCTTGTGTTACACATCGTCATCAGGTGACCAAGTAATGGTATGCGCGACCGCGGACAAAGCCACTGGAATACAACTGTAGCAATAGTGTTAAACAGCTTAACCTTAGCCAACACTATCGACAGGCACTTGGCCTTGAAAGTCTTATGACAACTAGTGATTGGATAGAAGGCGAATAGTACTAAGAGTATAATGGATGAACTGGATAGCCGTAACTGTGTGTAGAGTTAGACGACAACGAAAGGCAGATACGAAATATCAGCGAGTACAACAGGTATGGGTGAATGAGAGGTTCTTATCCTGTTGGTTGTACACCTGTTTGTGATGCTTCTCAACGAGTCTGCATTCGTCGGGTTAGAAAATTGTCCTACACAACATGACGGTTCCTACACGTCCACAGCCTCAACTTCTTTCTTACCTGCCACCCGGTACTTAAGCTACGCTCAACATGCTCGTGCTTTCTATGACAACTCGATCTAGTTCTGGACGAATGTCTACGATGACCGCTCGATCCTGGGAAGATATCGGAATGAGATTCAAGCATAACTGAGAGTATAACCTTGATATGTGGTCGAGAAGGGATGGTGAGTATAACGCTTGATAGAGGGGTTAATATGAGGTTCACGATAATGATGATAGCAGTGACGACCCGAGGGGGGTACGTGTGGAGACCTACGAGTTGTTATGGTTTATAGGGAAACATGATGTATCAATACTTACCTCCAAGTAATGTTCGTTGTTCTCCATAGACTGCTAGGCTCCGATTGGGGCGTGGTGGGTGCACCTGAGGAGTGATCATAATAGGCAGAACCCAGGGCTAGCGGCAAGCTACCAGTAGAAGCTGAGACCAGCTCGCCTGAAGTACGACTATCTTGACCTGCTTTGGTTGCCTCTACAACTGAGAGAGGCCTTACTTCCCGACCGGGGGCCTTTTTTGGCCGACTGCCAGTGCAGCCCATATGATACAACAGGAAGAAGTGCAAACAATCGAAGCCTTAACTGGACTTCAATGGACTGCCTCAAACCCGACAGCGCATAATCTTCACCCTTAACAAGACGTAACATTTCGGGACTGAATCGTTCACTCCCGAAGGGGAACAAATGGAGAACTCTACGCACATCTCAAGACGATGTTTCTGGCAGCTTCCCTATGAGGGGAGCTCAGGAAAAATATCCGGTGTAGTCATTATCACAGATCAGTCGCCTCTAGACTCGCAGACAGTAACCGACGAGAGCCTGAAGCCCTCGTCAAGAGAGGCCGAGTCGCGATGGGTGAAACTAGAAATTGATAGAGCTATGCTCTCATTTGATTCAAGTCTTTGATACCAAGGGATCTGTCGTTGCAACGCAGAAGGCTTGGCGTGCACGCATGCACCTCGCACGTGAGCAAATACGTACAAAACCATCAGAGCCAGTGTGATAGATGTTCTCGCTCGGGACGGAGAGGCAATAACAAATGCAAGTGGCGTAGGGCTTATAGCAATAGTAGTTAGATTGGAGGATATGGAAGGCTGCTGCTGCTGCTCTCAAAGACTTGAATCAAAGGGCCAGGTCGAAGTCGAACTGAGCGGAAAATTTTTCGTGCGCGGCACAATTTTTTTCCTGGACACAATTTTGTCTGGCACGTGAGAGGTTTTGACCCCCAAATTTGAGAGGCTCGACCTCAAGAGTTGAGAGCGAGCCCTAAATTTTAGAAGACCACTCAAAATTCTAGAGTGAGAGTTGGGACGAACAGTTTTGCTTCATCAGAGTTGTAGTACAACTTTTTTTTTCGAGCTTACGGTTTCTCACCAAAGCGACACATCTCATCCGACGGTGAGGACATGGAGGGGAGAGGGAGCAGGTAAGAGCTTACCTCTTTAAGGAGATAAGTAGCGAATAAGTGAACATTTTCGGTGATAAGCAGAGATACAGATGTAGAGGAAACGGGAGGGAATTAACTTGGGGAGGTTTCGAGTCGTCACTGAGGACTCGCCGGGCGCATCAAGGAGAAGCGAGGTCAACGACGTTATGATACTGTCTGCGTGAGCTGCGATCCGCAGCACACAATGAAGTGACAGGTATGAGCTACACTTCGGAAAATAGCTGTAATGCAAGTGCAATCCAAACTGCAAGCTCAAAGAAAAAAGGGAGGGGAACCGGGAGCCTGAAATGGCGATGGAAAAGCCCGAGACCCGAACCACTATCCAGGTTGAAGCCATTACTCAAGTGAACCAGAAACCCAAAGTTAAGAAAGAAGTACTCGACTTCTACTACATGGGGTCCTGGGAGCAGCGACAGAACCTTCCCTAGTCCGACATGGTGTTGTTGATAGTTTGAGCCTACTAGCACTGAGAGGTGGTTAACTCATCAACGTCACGGTGTCGGCAACAGCAGGGTCTCGAGGATGATACACAAGCACCGCAGAAGAATCATTTGTTGCCACTAGCATCATCTCCCCGAGACCAGGGAGGTAGCACACGGAGATCATGTCAGAGGTTGACGATCTTAATTGTGTTCAATTCATCGCTTCTTTGTGTTACTACGTTCTCAAGTTCATATAGTTTGTAAAGAGGCCCTTTGTCGGCTATGCAGCTTTCGCTACAGCTGCTCTGTAACCGGACTGGAGTATTACAAATATTTCGCACGCATTATCACAAGTGAAATTATCAAGATTTCATCTCGCTCGCCCGCTAAGATTTCTAAGATTTATCTATCTACTATGGATACAAAAGTCGTATATTTTACGCAATTAGTGTTAGTTGCTTGTGAATGATTGGATATTCCGTGGCGTAATAGAGTGCTAACCTGTATCACACTGCTTGGATGTTTATCGCTTGAATGGGTCTCCTGTTGGGTTGTTCTGCCTTGTGTTGGCTCTGAGTGATTTGGTGGTCTCACTTCTCGTAATGGAGTCTCTCCCGCCTGGTATGACGCAGGCTTACGAGTGGGAGAACACTTATATTATGGAGCCTAAGGCGGATGAACGGTAATAGTACCTCAGGGGGGAATCGAACCTATGCGGGTTTCTATCCATAGGTTTATACCGAGCAAAGTAAGAGCGGTGTGTGAGCGGGCCATGAAGGCTAAACTGGAGGACCGTGAGTCTGAGGGGCTCCGGGCAAATGTGAACGGTGGTCTGTAGAGGAGTATGTGAGTGAGAAGGAGGCAAAGCAGTGGGTGTTAGAGCTGTGTGCTGAGATAAAGGATGCTGTCAGAGAAGAATGTAACGTACTTAGGCACAAGATCATGGTAGGTCCCGGGCTCGATCCCTGGTAGCGGCATCATTGACCTTCTGGATTGCATGCTGCCTATTAGGTGCAAGTCGTCATATCTAAGAATGAGGGCCAAGGCATACGAGTATGCAGTAAGGGACTTTGGGATGAGTCTAATGATAATTGGGCCTCCTACACCTTCCATAGTGTAATACAACTCCCCATAGTGCATATTGAATGCTTTTGCTCCGCCTCACTACAAGTATCTGCCGAAAGGCTTCACATTGTTCATGTCCGAAGTGGCGGAATGTATCTCTTTTACCGTTCCCCTCCCACTTTATATCTTCCTATTCAGCGCTTCCTGTTGGGTACGGCTATGGTGTTCGGATGCTATTACGAGTAATTCCTCTGGACATGGTTCACGTGTCTACTGTCATGCTCTTCGTTTTGGGTTCAGTGCCAAAGTTAAAGTGAAAAGTTTCGATATCATGTCCTCTCCAGTCGGCAGAGCCTTGCCTCGTTTCCTCTTCCCTGAGGTCTTCGCGACTGATTTCACTATCCATAATCTTCCTTATGGAGTTTTCCGAGCTCAGAGTGGAGAGTCTAGGATTGGTAATAGAAGCTGATTACTCTGCTGCGCTTTATCATGGTGTTCTATAGGTACTGCTATTGGAGATAAGATACTGGATCTATCGGTGATGAAGATTCGATTCGAAAGATATTCCTTATTCCCGTTGTAGGTCCTTGCGAGGCATCAAAGACTTCCACAGTGCTTTACTAACACCACTTTGAATGAATTTATGGGCATGGACAAATCCGAGTGGAGTCGAGTGAGAAATCGGCTATTGTAAACTGTTGGCGAATTGGTCGTAAGGTTCGAGGTAAAATACAGTCCTACCTTTCCGATGACCATCCTGAGTCCCTCAAGCACGACAATGTGTTGTTGAAGGAAGCGATGGTGGACATGTCCAAGGTGCAGATGATGCTACCATGTAGGATGGGGGTTGTTCCCTAACATTGGTGAAAGGGCACTACTTGTGGTGGTAGGCGACATAGGAGATTATACGGACTTCTATTCTTCTGAGGAGCATGCTACTAACGTGGGTAAGATGTTCCGTCCTAACCAAGACTCATTACTGCCCAATTGGAAGCACCTACCGGTCGGCTATCACGGACGGGCCAGCAGTGTGGTTGTTAGTGGTGAGGAGGGGGTGTACAGTGTTTTCTAGAGGGATACAACGGATAAAACTACTGAGTAAATTTTGAGCGTAGAACATTTGTCCTGAGAACCCCAGTCCTCGCCTACTGTGCCCTACATTACTAGATTGTTGATGGTGTATTTTCGGTCTGGTTATTAGCTATGAGGTATTGACTAGGTACACCCATAACTCGTCCATGTGGTCAAAGGAAAGGCCCCAATGATCCTGTCCCCACCTTTGGCCCCAGCACGAGGATGGATATCGAATTGGAGATGGGCTTCTTTGTGGGTGGGAAGGGTAATGCTCACGCACTCACTCTGTTGCTGATAATACTTGTAATAGCTACATGCAGGTACTCAGCTGGGAGACCCCATACCATTATCAGAAGCTGGGGAGTAAGAAGACGGTTAGGTAGTGATGGTAGTAGTATTTGGTGTAGTCACATCTTTGGGGTGGTCCTAATGAACGACTGGTCAGCAAGAGACATCCAGCAGTGGGAGTATGTCCCCTTGGGGCCTTTCCTCGGCAAGAACTTCGGTAGGGGCTCGGTGGTGTTCATATTGTTTTGTAAGGACCGGTAGGTACATCTATAAGCCCATGGATAGTCACATGGGAAGCCCTGAAGCCGTTTAGGATTCCCCTGACGAAAGAGCAAATACCGCGCCCATTGCCGTAGCAGAGGAGATCACTGGGAAGAGTACGGATGATTGGTGATAGGTATCTTGCGCACTCGGAAGATTCCTCACCCCAATTGGATATCGAGCTGACTGTAGATTTGAATGGTGAGCGTATATGCAAGTCAAACTTGAAATACATGTAGGTGTCGTCCTCTCTTCTCGTCGGAGAGCATTATGGTAGCGTTAGGTATTGGTCTATGGAGCAACAGCTAGCTCACCATACAGTAAATGGGTGTAATGTGAAGGCTGGTGACTTGATGGGATCGGGGACTATCAGTGGTGGGTTATGGTGTTCATGCATTGACCTTGTTGAATTGTACCATTGGGGAAACTACTCATCGTACTTACTCTCGAAGAGGAATGTTATTTCCCATTGTTTTGGGCACCATCCGTTTAGTAGTGTACTCATGTCATTACATCACGGATGGCGGCTTGCCTAGCTAGGATGTGTTGGTGATC